CCATGTGCCGAAATGCCACATCTACCCGTTTTTTGAACACTTCCAGGGATGGTGACTCCACCACCTCTCTAGGCAGCTTGTTCCAATGCTTGACCACCCCTTCCGTAAAGAAATTTTTCCTAATTTCCAACCTAAACCTCCCCTGGTGCAGCTTAAGCCCGTTTCCTCTCATCCTATCGCTAACTACTTGGGAGAAGAGACCAACACCCACCTCACTACAACCTCCTTTCAGGTAGTTGTAGAGAGCAATAAGGTCTCCCCTCAGCCTCCTCTTCTCCAGGCTAAACAACCCCAGTTCCCTCAGCTGCTCCTCATAAGGCCTGTGCTCCAGACCCTTCACCAGCCTTGTTGTCCTTCTCTGAACACGCTCCAGCACCTCAATGTCTTTCTTGTATTGAGGGGCCCAAAACTGGACACAGTATTCCAGGGGCTGCCTCACCAGCACCGAGTACAGGGGGACAATCACCTCCCTGCTCCTGCTGGCCACACTATTCCTGATACAAGCCAGGATGCTGTTGGCCTTCTTGGCCACCTGGGCACACTGCTGAAGTCGTTTATGCTCCCTTCTGGTCCCCAGAAGTGAAAGATTTCAATGCAGCAATCCCTGTTGATTGCCAGCTGCTCACATTTTCACGCTAATAGATAAAAATTAAGCGATGGTGAGTATTTCCAGTTCTGCAGTGACATACTAGGTTGAGAAAATTTAAATAAAGGTGCTTTTGATATTATTAGCCACAGAGCACTGATTTCAAGGTTTTGATCAACCCGTGACTGTTGACATTAACTCCTGCACCCGGCGGCTCAGGCTGTGCCCCAGCTGCAGGAAAGCTTTACATGATAAACAGGTTTCTGCCCTGGGGCACCCACCCACGGGACACTTCAGAAAAGTCCTTCATGAAGGACTCCTTTTTCCAGGAGAATCTCCTTTCAGAACAGTAGCCAAGAAAAGCTGTAGTTTGAAAGATGAGCTTTGCTGGGTATCTCTCCTCCGTGTATTAGCTAGTGGCCGTTTCTCTGGGGTGCCAGTCCACACTGAAACGTGGTACCACCGCATGGCAATCACTATAAATCCATCGAGCAGTAAGGGAACAGGCAGGGCATGTGAAATGAGGGAAAATTGCACATAGTAATTTGCTGTTTCTCTTCTGAAGGTCATTTAACTTGGAGAAATACACAGTGACATTTCGCTGGCTTGCTGGAGGAGCACACTGAACTCTGTTGTGGTGGTGGGTTGGGTTTGCCCGTCCTAATGACGCTTCCAGTACATTAGTGGAGTCGCTACTCTTCTGTAGAAATCTGCTTTAGAAGCTCAAAAAGTTTGTGGTAAAATTACAAAATGTAAAAGAAAAAAAAGTTAAATAATGTAAAAAAATGTGGGAACACCCTTGGCGAGAGGGGCTGCACATGGTCACCCACATGGGCTCTTGCACACGGGCTTGGCTGAAATGATTCAGACATTGAGCTGGGTCTCAGATTCGGGGGTGCACAGAGTCCCGGTCCTGCATGCTTTTCCCACCCAGCGGTCGAGAGGCATGAGCCTGGCGTACAGCGAGTTAGGAACTGCAAAGCCTGTACCGACGCAGCAAACCGAAGCAGCCTTCCTCAGTGGTGCAGCACGGTTCCCACAGGTGAAGGTCACTAGCTGGAAGACTGTGCAGATAAGATCTGATCTACGTAAACCTGTCAAGACTTGCATTGCATCAGCAGGTGGTGCTTTTGCAAAACTCACTTAACCATTTATTAGAAGGCCTGTTACTAAACAATGCTTTACAGGTTAGGATTGGCCATTCTCCATCCCCTGCCGCTTTGTGCACAGCCCATCGGGAGCGGGCAGCAAGGAAGAAGGTGGGCGAGCACCCTGCGGCTCCCCTCGCCAGGACAGATCCGCTCAGCGAGTGGTCACAGCCGGGCGCCGGGGGCTGCTCCTCCACCGGCACCTCTGTACAGGGTGTTCGGAAGTGGTGTGACGCTGGGCCCCAGGCAAGAGCAATCAAGGAAACGGAGACCGATTAGTCTGTCAAACTTTTATTCTGACTGGTACAACACACATTGATTTGGTACACAAACAAGCTAGTTTTTAAGGCAAACAATGATCTCAAAATCATCTTTCCATACACTACAGTTTCCATAACATCTTTGACAGAAGTACAACATATTAAAACCAGTATTAGAAATACTACTGTAGTAGAATTTAAATACATCACATAAAAGGCATCTTTAAAGAAATGCAACAAAAATACACCACTCAAACAAATAAATGGGAAACAAAAACTTTCATTTATACTAAACTCTTTGAATTCATTTTTGAAAGTGCGTTCCTCCAGCCACGTCCCATTATGGCAGCCATGGCTGGCAAATAGTGCTTAAACTCCTTTTCTGTAAACAAATTAAAAGCAGACATTCTTTTCCATTTTCTGATATTTAAAGTAGCTGCTTTATCTTACCACACCCAAAGATGGACAGAACTGCCTTTTTCCAAATATAAAAGTGTCCTATTTCACTAAGAAAAGGCATGGCGTAACAAAATTATTTTAAGCGAACTACAGTGAAACCACCCGACTCTTAAGAACAACAAGCCCACGTCTGGTTACTCTAGAACTGAACAAGGGTCCCCTCCCACAGCCGATTTAAGGCAACGTCACGTTTGAGCTGTTCTCTCATTACCATGTATTTGATTGATTGTGTACAGGAAAAAACAGCTTTCTCCTCTTGCCGCTATAAAACAGCTGATAAAAGGGGGATTGATTCACTCTTCCTCGCAGAACTTCTCCCTCGCTATCCCACTTACAATCCCAGAGTCGGCCGGTTGCTCCGTAAGTGCTGCAGCTCAGAAATTTCTTGACAAAGAATGATTCAGTCTAATCGTTAAGGTCATCCTGACACATTTTACAAGCGACTGGGTTTCTGTATTTGTTTTAAAAAGCTAATGTACATAAACTGAACAATACCAATCCTCTGGACAGAAGAACAGGCTTTTTATATTCCAAAAGAATTTTTTAAAACAAGTATGAATCCTGCAAGGCACTTTCCCAAAGACAATGAGTAATATTTTTATTTCACCGTGTTCCCCAAAGTGCTGATTAGTAAATGAACTGGGGCTAGCAGCACTGTTGATGTGCAGGCATGTGTAGTCGTTACATTCAACACTGGCTCTCACACAGTGCAGCAGCTCGCCGGGGCCATGCGGCTCCGAGCTTGGGGTCCCACAGCCTGAAGGATGCAGTTGACTCATAAATGAAAAGGGAATTTATTGCATTAAAATGAAGAAGATGATGAGACTGACAAAAGAAAGGCAGTACTTTACAAAATGTGCCTCTCTGTGGTTTTAGGCTGGCTCTTGAATTAAGGAAAGACATTAGCTTTTAGGTTGCACTCGAATGCCACCCAGATAAAATTAGATTTATGTAGGTGGTGGCTTCTGCTGTCAGATTAATTACTCTTGTTTGACTGATACAAAGATAAGCAATTAGACAACGCAGTAACAAAACAAGGAAAGTGAGTAGCCAGTTTATCTTTTGAGTAGATACTTTTACAGACAAAGGAAGAGAAGTAAACATTAAGGTTCTGTGCAAGAAATTCCTAGTAGATGCAGGATTACATTTGCCTTTAAGGCCCCTGAATTCAATGCTATATGGCACATAGTATATGGCGTAAAACTATATGATAAAACTATATTGTATTGTATTTGCATCTAATTTCACCCAAGAGGCCATGAGACAGGAGACATTAGAGGCTATCACGTACAAAAGGGTGATGAAAACAAGGAAAAAACATAGCCCTTGTAAAGATAAACTTCAGATGTGACACAAATGGATTAGAACTCAGTTTCCTAATAAAACCTGAAAATTACCTGGGGGAAACATCTGACTAATGCACACACTGCTACCCACCTCTTCCAGTCTGCTTTATTTTAAAAATTCCCAAAGCTGCCGTATCTTTCAAATTTGTCTTTGGAGGAAAGAAGAAACAAACTATTTTGGGGTACTATTTTGGCTGCTTCATAAGACATTTTAGTAATGAAGAAGTTTTGAGTGGCATTACTTAAAAATCATTTCATGTTCATTTTATTCTTGGACATGTGCATTTCCAACTAAAACAACTCATATGAAAACAGTATTTTTGGCTTTGTAAACCTTTGCCATTAATTTACAGGAAGAAGAACATTTACTGTCTCTTACAACCTGTTTATCACTCTCTCCATCTGCTCAAAGTAGTTTTATAGTGTGCTTTGCAAACAGCAATTCTTGTTATGCCTGCATATTTCACAGGCTGCTATTTAAAAAAAAAAACAGACTACAGATTTCTCACTTGTGCTATTTGTCCCAATGCTACATCCTCCTCAGCAGATGAGTTTACTTTAGCATCCACGCACAGTAAGTATTTATGAGGACAAATCCATGTGTCATGAGACTTGTGCTACCTTCAGTTCTCGAAAGAGAATAATGTACCACCATTGGTACAACACAACCTTTTCAGTTTTTAAGCCACTGGAATCCAAATCAAGTCCCCTAATTTTGTCTTCCTTTAATTCTTGTATTTTTTGCCCCTTTCTCCCCTTGTCCCTCCAGAGAAAAGGAGGAAAAAGGACTCTCTGAAGTAGATGATCTTAGTATTAAAATATATATAGGAGTGAGTCTCTTCAGCAATTTAATCTGTTGAATCTGTTTCAAGTGTCCCCTTATAGGAAAACCATTTTTTCTACCTTAGCACAAGAAAATTCCCTCCAAGCTCTATTTTAGGCACACAAAACATCATGTTCTGCAGCTCAGTTATGAATGGCAATAACAACAGAATGCAGAAACAAAACCAATTCCTTCTTCTGTACTTGAGAATTTTTGGCACATTGGATAAATAATTATTTGGCACTACAGGTCCACTCACTAATACCATTTTCAGCTATTTATGCAGATGCTAACATGTTACAGACACCCCAATTCACAGTAGGATTTAAAACTACTCATTGGCAAAAGTAGTTTCCATGCAAATGGATCAATGTTCCTTCATGCCGTTGTCCGTCGGATTTCCTCTGACAAGGTGATTGATCTCTCTTTCCACTCATTGTTAGAGCACTTGGAGACAGCGCTGGCTGCTTGACAGAACTTCTGGAGGAGGATCTTTCTGAGCAGCAAGTAAACCCATGGATCCAGTATCTGGTTTAGTGAGGCTAAACGCACAGCTGTCAAGAAGAAATTGCATTCCTTGCGCATTTCTGAGCTTTGGGCTTCACTGGAGAATCCCTTGCAGTGTTCAAATGATGTATGGCTGAAGATCATCTTCAACATCGTTATCTACAGAAAGTTAGGAGGAAAAAGTGATATATGTTAAGAGACTGTTATCTGTATATCACTATATGCAAATAGCCCTAAAGACAAAATCCTGTCAAGAAATTTTTGTCCTCCCTCATCCGATTCAAACTGTGATCAGAGCAAATAAACATTGAGAGAGCAGCTCATTCTGTGTGTGTGTGTGTGTGTGTGTGTGTAAAATGAGTGATAAACATGATACCTTCCAGCTATCAGTCAGATTTATTTATAGATCCCATGCTAAAACAAGGCAGTACATGCTGCTTCCCTGCTTGAGACACAACGGAAATCTGAGTGCTAAATCCTAGAGGTTCAAGATGCCCTTGGCTAGAAAGGGAAATTACTGACCTTGCAAAATTGACTTAAAGGGACTAATTTTATCATTATCATATTATCACAATTACAAGGAACAGCTGAATAACTCATGATGAGTAGAGCTCTTCAAAATTATGTTATGAACTGTAAATGTCAGAAAAAAGAATTTCAAATACAAAAATGTCTTTTTTTTTAAAGCTAAGATGTTTTACTCTATGACTTCTAAATTTTAGAATTTGATTTTAAGGTAAACTATTCTGCTTATGAACTGAGCCAAATTAAAAGAAAAGGGTTAATAAAGGTGTTTTGGGCTGGGAGTCAAGAAAACATTTTAAGTCAACAGAAAAGAAAAAAATCTTTTTCTTTTGTCAAATGCCATAGACTGCATTTTGTGTTAACCTGAGCTATATCTCCTCCTTTCCCCCCTCAGTTCAGCTCCCCCAGTGAAGAGCGATATATTTAGGAATCTATTTCCCACAGCATCCGAACTGGCATGACTGAGAGACACTATTTACACTGTAAAATGTTTCACACAAGTAGAAGTTTCCATAACTGATGTCTCCCATACCTCACAGCACAGATCAGCAAGCTCTGGCCTGGGAGCCAAAAGCTACATGCAGGTTGATTTTTCTGGGATTAAATGCCATCAGGCATGGCAGCATCTTGATTTACAATACTAGTTACACAGCATAGGGCTATCGGGGTCCTGCCATGGGTATTAAAGTGGATGGCACATGTCAGAACTGCACTGGTTAGCAGTAGTCACTCATTTATTCAGAAAAGCCAAAGAAGAGGCAGCTTTGATTAATACTTTCACCCCCAAATCTGTACTTTAAGGTAATTTCTTCAATCATATTTCAAAGTGTCAGCAAAGATATGTGCTGTTGGTACGGCACAGGCAGCAGGGAGGATCCATTTTTCTTATGGGTTGCTGCAAGACTTACAACCATTAGAAGACTTATAAACTGAAGACTGCACTATAATGATTCAATCAACTAAAATAACAACACTTTACATGTCCTCGTTTTCCAAATTAAGACATAAGCTTGCTGTACAGCTACCAATGCCATGAGCCTTGAAACACAAGGACACCTTTATTCTCATGTTACAGACTAGAAAGGTAAGACACTGCCAAGGGCTGCTACAGGCTGCACAGAAAAACCTGTGACTGAAAAAGAACCCAGCCTCGGAACTCCAGTGCAGTGCTCCAGCCACAGGAGCACTGGTTTTGTTATCAGGCTGCTGCATATTCAGGTAAAAATGGTGAGAAGCCTTTTTGTTTGTTCTTTTTTTTTTAAAGCTGGTGAGAGTGCTCATCAGACCTGGTGTTGTGATGCTCTCATACACTAATACGTAACCATGGGAAATATGAATCACATTTTGAAAAAAAAAGTCAGATAGATATAATTTTCCATGGTTTAGTCGGTATCTGTGGTCAAGTTTTCTCCTGAGCTTTCTGTGCCAACTACAGCTGCTTAAAAATGTATCACTTCAGAGGCTTTTAGTTGCTTCTCTACAGATAAGCTACTTTAGTTTTTGTATTGCAACGTTTTTTCCAGGAGCCCATAAACACAAGGATCAAAACATCTCCTGAGCAGGCACTTGCCGTGCAACTTGCTGCCAAATGACGTGCGTCTCAGCTGTACAATGGGGAAAATACCTGCGCTCTTACACCTGGCTGTGATGCACAACAAAGCTCCCCGGTGCTTTAGAGCAAGGAAAAAGGCAGAGCCGACGTAAGGACGGGGCACGCTTCATAATGTACACCAGGAGACAGCAAGCAGGCCTTGTCGCTGGGCACCGCGTCCTACCACAGACTGAAGTGTGGCAGTGTGAAGTGACCTGACGCTTGGGAAGCCAGAGGTAGGGCCTGTGTGCTACACTCTGTCCTCTGAGGACAGGGCTATTGAACACCCAAGTTTTCCTGGGCAGGTCCTTTTTTTTGCTTGCAAATCTCTTCTGGGCATGACTTGAAGACCGTGACTGTCTGAATTTACTGTCTGGAGATCCCGCAGAATTGAGATGCAGTAGGTTCCACACATTTTGACGCGTCTACTGTGTATGTCAAGGAGATGGACACCTATGCACGATGGCCCTGATGCACATCTAATTCACTGTCTTTGCAAAGGTCCGTGGTATTACTGAGTGGTACCGTAGTGTACCAAGGTACACTAAATAAACTGGCAGCCAGTCATGAAAACACAGCCCGAGGGACAAGATTCTTAGTCAATTATGCATAGCCCTGCCCAACTTCTTGACTTCAGCCTTTCGAAAGAACCAAGACAATCTGCACCAGCAGCAACACAAGCTGAGTGATCCCAGCCAAGGTTTTCCCACGGAAGGCTGTCTTGAGAGTTCAGTGTCACTCAGAAAGATCATGGCTGGACTGCTTCTGTGCCCATAAACTGGGACAGTCAGAGCAAGAGTGACCAGAAGGAGAGGCTATGGGGGAGGATTTTTCCATTCAAAGGGATATTCTGGGTGCCAGATCAATAACCATGTGTTGCCCTTGGAAAGACTTAGATGAGTCCGGAAGGCAGGGCAGCTTGGACAGCAAAGTAGAATTGTTTTTGTTTCTTTAAATAGAAGCAGTTGAGAGTTCAATCTATTACATTTAATTTAAATAAAAATGAAAATAAGTAACCGTTGGTAGAGCCTTTTGAAAATGCAGATAGACACAGATCCAGACCACATCAAAAGGCCACCTGTGCACCAGTCCCACACAACCGCATCCCTAGCACTTCCTCTGCCCCCTCTGCCACTGTCACAGCTCGGTCTACGCTGCCTGCAGCACCTGCCCCCTGTGCCCACCAGAGACCAGCACAACCCACCTCCTGACGGGGACGGCAGCATTACCGTGACATAAAGAGCAGCGGTATTAGGTAAATATGCTGTGCCCACGCTACAGCCAATGGAAACCACACTGCATTTGTCATTCCCAGTATTCAGATCGCTTTCTCCCAGATCAGCTCTTCTAGCTCTTCCTTTGGGAACTCTGCAATGACCCCTGTTTTGCAGACCTTGTTGTCTTGTTCTTTTGTCAATAAACCCATGGAGCTACAAAAATATCAGGCTAATAAAATACATTTCCCAAGCAGACAACTTATTTTTGTTTTTATTACATAATACTCCTTTACTGGAATATTTGTTGGACCAACAATTGCTCTACTGGAAATTTTATTTGTTTGATGTCCTCAGAGGTTGTTTATCATGGCCCGTATTGGTCTTCTAAATTAATTAAAAGAAAGACTGCAAAAGGTAGAGGAACAACATCAGGTGGAATAAAGTCAATGGAACTACACAATTTATGACAATAAAAAGTTTGGCTCAAAATGCATATAGTAATATAGTTGATAATTGTATTTATTAAATTAGAGTAGATAAAACTTTACTGTTATCATTGAATGTAGTTTTATAATAACATTAAACCTCCACTGCTCTGGTTTTCAAAGTTACAACCACAGACAGGATGTGTTTTGTGAGATGTCTTTACAGTGTTTTGAATAAAGTTGCATTGTAGTACACAAGAACTTTTCAGGGTTGTTTCATAAGCTCCCCCGCTGGCAACCATCACTGTGGTAGATTGCCACTAGCTTAACTTTACATGGGCAGCCTATGTTACCTCAGGGACTCGCAGGCAGCTTATTATTTTATTGCAAAGAGTTTAGAATGAACTTCCACTGTAGTTGGGGGGGGTGAAGAAGCAAAAACTTTCCCAAAGTATTTTTTCACTTTTACAAACTATGTTGTAAACTGCTGCTACCTGCAGTAAAAGATGGAGACTAAAACAGCTGATGTGCTTAAAGGTGTGTATTTTTCAGCCAAGCAAGAGCTGAGCAGCTAGTCTGGAATGTAGGGTAAGAATATGATGGGAAATTCCTGGTCTCAGACTGCAAAAATCTTTTCTTGAGAGAGCTTCCAAAAAACCAAACATATTTTATATGTATCATGAAGACAGGAGCATTCATCCTCTTACACTGCTTCTCCTCTCCCACTAGCCCTAATCTGTTGCTTAAATAATTCTCTCACACATAAAGAAGCAAGCCGTAGAAGGAACAGAGGAGTCTCCTGATGAAATACAAATAGCGTCTGTGGTGAGTGAACCATGGAAAGCCACGATGGAGAGGATATGATTTTTTCTTGTTATTACTAACCATACCTATAGTCATGTACCGTGTTGTTTTAAAAATCAAAATTGTAATTTTTTCTCATTAAATTTTTAGAACTCTCTTCTGCTGCCTCTGCTGGAGCCAAGGCAAAATGAAAGACTTCAGTTTGAGAAGGCCAAATGCCATTACAGATTCTGCTTGTGGACCCCTGAAGGAGAACTTCCTACTGCCTAGCATGGACGTAGATTTCTTTTTTAAAGTAGAAATACTGCCTGTCACAGGCAAAGCTAAGACAAGTCCAGCCAACTAGACTACAGAGGGGCATGTCTGGCATCTGGACCACCTTAACCTTGGTTCACCGCCTCACTGTAGCTGTTCATCCATCAGATTGACAGTAATCCAGAAAGAATCTAAGTTACAAGGCACCTGATGATCTCTCTTTATTAGCAACCTTCTTGCGGTAGGGCAATGCAACACCTCCTGGTGTGCACGGGCCACAGACACATCAGTATGTCCTGGGAAGAATTACTTCTCAGTGCTGGCTCCGCATCAAGGCCACGCTGCTTTCCACGCAGCAGCACCGCACATCTGGCACGTGCGCAGGCAGCACTGCGTGCAGTGCTCTCTCATCTGCCACCCCACAGGACACTGACTGGCACTCAAGCAAATCACTTCTCTGTTCCTGAGAAACATATGGCAGTGAAATAATTTGCAGTCCTCTTGGAGAATTACTGCAGAAGGCTGAGGATTTCAATAAGAACACTTTTACAGTAGGATAATAATGCAGGGAATCACGACAGGTCCCATCAAAGTCTAGCAGGCTTCCAACAAACACGGTCTAATTTGTACCACTTGGGTGTGACCTTATCTAGAGAAATGCAGTCCAGCAAAATGCAGTTTTTTGGCTGTAGGGGTCCACGGGCCTTCCCTGCCAGCATGGCCAAACTGAAATGACCAGCATGCTGGGACAGTTTTGAAACAGGTGGCTGTTCCAGCCTCAGATGGAAGTGGAGCATTAGTGGGAAGAGTTCCCGATTCATAGAACAAAAGCCATCTATTTTCCTTGCAGCTCAGTGGTTTCACTGTCTTTTTTCTCTCTAAGTGAAGGTGCTTTCCATAATTAAGTTTTGCACATTAAAAATATTACAAAATAATATATTTTTAGTAAAAATATCTGTAAAGAAGAATGTATTTAATTTCTGTCTGACAGGAAGGTTAAGGAGAAGTATTTTAATAGGAAAAGCAGAAGAATACCTGAGCATTTTGGCTTTAAATAGCCTTGAAACAAGTCTGTGAGTGAATAATTTTGTAACCTGGAGCTCTAAACTAATTATTATGAGAATTCCAGTTTGTGCTGCACCTGTGTTTCTGTGCAATCAAGGAATAGCTTCCTCTATTTTACCACAGTCTCATTTTAATCTGCTGTCAGTTTAGTTTGATGGTTATGCTCCACAGCTGGGCACCAAAGTAAACAGAATATTAGCACGAACTGGAAACCACTTATGATAAAGCAGTATCTTATTTAAGTGGAGCATTTTCCCAGGTTCTCCACGCTGAATTCAAGTAAGATCCTGAGTGCACAACAAAAGGAGACAACGCCTGCATTATGTATGCACTTCCTCTCTTCTACCAAATCCAGCATAAATCAAGAAAAGGTGGGACACTTCATTAAGCCATTTAGGGCACAGCCACTATCATCAGAAGTTCCACTTTTCTGTTAAATCACATTTTATTTTGTCATTTTCATCAACAGATCAAGTCTAAAAATACTGTGTAAAAGGGCATCGTTTGCCTAATAGTAATAGTTGTCAGAATCCATTAGTTCTCAGTTATAAAACTCAGGTTTCTTTTTTTAAAAACCCAAAGATCTCCTCTGAAAATCCCTGGATTCTTGTTTCAACTAAATTTCTTACAACTGCTAAATGATGCAGCTATAGGTTAAATGAGTTCTACACTCTGGCTTTCACTGAAAATGCACTTACATTACTCCATGGTCACTCTTCCAAAAATCTGGCCTCTTATTCCTAATACATACTTTGTAGTTCTACAGAAAACATTGACGTGTATATACAAATATGCTTCTGCAGTCATGACTCTTGATTTCGAGAATATGAAGACTGGAGAATATGCTGACGAGACAGAGAAGTTTTGCAGAACTCTGCAGAGCAAGTTACATGTTTTCAAGTGTTGCTGCTGCACAGGGAAATGAACTGTTGACAACTTCACTCTGGATTACAGAGTGCCCCAGAGGGGCAAAAGTCCTCCACAGGATCATAAAACACATGCAAAGCCTTGCCAATGAGTACCACTTCAACTGGCCCCGCCTTTGTCTTGGAGCATCAGGCTCCTTGCCAGGGAGTCAGTTCATCTTCTGTGGCCAAACCTCAGAGAAGCCCTGCTCTCTCTTACCAGCTCCCTGAGCGTTTTCTGGAGGTGTCAGCCTTGTTTACAACAGGCTTTCTGACCTGGGCTCTGCTCTGTTAACTCATCCCATTAACACTTCCCACAGATCCGTTCAGTAGAGCAGGGGCAGCTGTATTGGTTTGACTTCTGACTGTTAACTCTGCAAAAATGCCACGGGAAGCAAACCACCAAGAGGAATCCCTGCACCCTCACTGATTTTTCTGAGTACTCAGGTTCTGAAGGCAGAAAAAGAAAAAACTGTCCCTCTTCTCAGGGATTTTCTCTCGATGCTACGAGGCTGGTTAAACCCTTAGGTGCAATAGCTCCATGGCCCCCGGGCTGGTTGAGGGAGCAGCACGGGTCCTGCTGCCTTGGCCGCAGAGAGCAGGGCAGAACCTTCCGTCCCAACGGAAAGGCTACAAAAGCAAGGGCTGAGAGGCAAACATACTTCCTTCATTTAATAAACGCCTTCTAATTTTTTCATCCGTTTAATTATGGACAAGCATGCAACAGTTAACTTCTGTAAAATAAAGAAGTGTCTCCCCTTGGGACTTGACTGCACACGTCAGTGGGACAGCAGGACATGCCACAGCAACGTTAGGGGCTGGCCAAGGTGTGCGGGGCTGCAGGCAAGCAATGCATGGAGACACACACCGAAATAGTGACAGGGCAGTCTCCTGGTCTAACTTACCAAATCTAACATCCCTTGGGGTTTGAGGAGGAGAACATTATTCTTTGCTCTCAAGTTCTCACTAAATTTTTGTGTGGTTTCATATTTTACTTTTGTCACAAGCTGTTAATGATCTCTAGAAAGTCAACATACAGCCTCTGACTTATTTTGGGGCAGGGTTATTTTGGAGATTTGTTGGAGTTTTAATTAATTTACAAGGGCAACATTACTTAATTAAATTAATTGGTTTTCAATTTTTACCTTACCCCCATCAGCTGTTATCTTTGTCAGCCATTCCTCTTGTCTCAGGCCAATTTATGAGAGCTCAAGTTCTCTGTGCACAAGAAGGAAGAAAAATCCTTCTCTGGCCATAAAGCACCTTTCACATAACTTCAAAATTACCATAGCTAGCTTTAGCCCTTTCCTGCTTACGGATCCCAAGTACAACCTTTCAAAAATCATACTATCCTCTGACAGCAGAATAATCTGGCCTTTTTAGATGGAGTACTGGCCTCCTGTGTGTGCCCTTGTCCCACATGGCAGAAAGAGATGTGGATTCAGCCTCCTCCACTCATAAATCATGAGGAAGGATTTACCCTAGTTTGACAAGAAAGACAGGGCATAAGTGAGGAGTAACAAAACAGTGGAAAGAAATGCAAGGGTCCTTTAAAAAAAAAAAAAAAACAGAAAAAAAAAAGCCCAGAATGCTGCCGTAAATAAGATACAGTGAGCAATCTACTGAAAACCAGAAGGCACTCACAAAGTCCCAGGTCGTACCTTTTCTCATAAAGCATTAAAGTAAGTTTTGCTACAAGGTGGGAGCAAACAAAAAATCGTAAGTGGCTGTCTCCCATGAGCACAGGGCTCCATCACAGTAAGGTCTCGACAAACTTCCTCACAGGTTCCCCTAAATGAGGAATAAGCAGATTCTGGTTCCCCTTGTCCCCTCACCTTCAGACCCCTACGGCACTATGGGGTAGGTACAATGTGCCGGTCAGAGCTGGGCAGAGGCACAGCATGCCCTCCCTGCCTCTGGAGCCCACTGTCCGCACCAGCCGCTCCCCCTCCCCTCTCAATCTGCCTGGTGCCTGTGGCTCTACGCCACAAGCACTGCCGACTTGTGTCCTGCTCCCAGACTCACAGTCTCCTTGTGTCCTCCCTCCTCCTCTGTACAAGACCCTTGTTTTCCTCAAGGTCCCTCCTTTTGACTCCGGTTCCTTTGTCTTATTTTCCCAAATATGCCGCACTTTGGCTATCCTCTTGGACCTCTCCCAGCTTCTCTCCCGCTGGCTTTCCACGCCAGGCTCTGTCCCTGTCCCCGCTTTCTTTCCTCGGAGGCCATTCACGGCCATGCCATCCATGAGGAACCTGAACTGCCGGTGCCTCCCACCCTGCCCTCTCTCAGGGCCACCCTGCCTCCTGCCCTAAGGGAGGGAGGAAGGAAGCCTGGGGTTGACCCACGGCAGGCAGCGAGGCGACCTACCAGCAGCGGTGACCAGCAGGCTGAGAGGACACACATGATCCCCAAGAGCTGGATCAGTGTCTCCATGGCGATTCGCCCCCACTGCTTGCTGGAGCGCGATGCAGTCGCTTTGGTCCGACAGCGAGACACCAAGGCCTCGATGGTGGCCAGGTTGCACGCCACCGTCACCACAAGGGAGAGAAGCCCCAGGACAGCAAAGGTGGAGGCGAAGAAGAGGCTCCCGGTGAGCTGGCTGTCGATGGTGCTGATGAAGCACCAGGTGCCGGGCCACTGCAGCGTGTACTGGCCCAGGCCGGCGATGGGCAGGAGGGCGAACGCAAACACGGCCAGCCAGATGCCGAGCAGCACCGCCTTCGTCACCCGCGTCTTCATGTGGCTGGCGTACCAGTGGGGCGCACGGATGGCCAGCGTCCTCTCCACGGCCATGGCGCTGGCGATGAAGAGCGGGCAGAGGCCGAAGATGGTCATGCTGAAGCCGAAGAAGGCACAGAGGTGGCCCGAGGGGTCGATGGCGT